ACATCATATTGTTACATCGTCAATCGCATCTCAAAACATAGCATAATCATCATAATCACCGCCCATCAACTAGACACAGCATTTACTCATCAGGAGTCTCCTGGTCGTACTGGGATTTCGAACCGCCCTTCTGTCCCGCAGCACGGGCTTTGGGGTCGCCGGGCTTGAAGCTTCCGCTGGAGGCGTGGCCGCCCTGGGAGGCGATGTTGCGCTGAGATACTTTGTTAGAATTGTCGAGGCTCCCGGGTTTGACATGTAGAGATAGGATGGGGGATCAGGACATACCTGCTTCTCCGGATCCATACTCGCAAATCCGCCGGCGTGGCTCGACTGGCCGCCCTTGCGGGCGATGTTCTGAACCTCCTCGTGGGAGCGGTTGGAGAAGTTTCCGGGGTTGGTGTTGGAGGCCATGGTGTTGATTTGCGAAATGGTGTATAGTTGGCTCGTGTGGTAAAGTTATTTTGGTATGTTGGGATAGATTGGTTATTCCTTGGATTAATTTGAGGTTCTGGTCATGCTTGGGCTGGTCCTTATAAGTGTCCCGGGTAACGAGGATGAAGTCATGATGTTGTCCGTTTGACATCAGATTTTGAAACTCGTCGAAAAGAAAGACTTTGGGGCGTCGTGATGCAAGAATCATATCACTTATTGTTCTCGGATGGCTGATCGATCGATCTCATTCTTGTTGTTCGGTTGCCACGCGGGGAGATCGAGGCCCTCTATCCGTGGTCGCCGATGGGAGAGTTTAGGTACAGTACCTTGCTTCAATCATCATCATCACGTTGGATAATGTTATGCTTGGGCGTGCTCGATCGATTGAGAAATGATCGAATACGTCCAATGCAGTATGGAGTACAGGATAGACGGCTGATGCGGTAAGGCAGGTGTAGATTGCAGTATGTCATTGGAACATGTCATCATTGGTGGTGAGCGAGCTGCATGGAGGTACTCATTGTTCTCAGGCCGGGGTAGACGTAGGTTGACTTGAAGGGAGACAATAGACAATGCATGGCAGATTCGAGGCCTCTTGTGTTTGACTTGTTCAGCAAATCTCCAGGGCTTTCGGGAATGCTATAACTTCAACGACGAGATCAAAGAACCATCTTTCAAGATTCAAGAATCGAGGGGATTTAGTGTTGACCTGTGCATATCTCACTTGGACACACAGACTGTGGTATCTGCATTTAAGTCATTGGCGACATTTGATGCTCTTCAATATTCAGTCAGCTTGTCAACTACTGTCCTTACATGCACCAGTTAGTTCCATGGCTGGGTGCTCGATCATAGTAAAGACTCTCTTCGTCGCTGAAACCTACTTTATCTAAGCGAGTCAGCTTGGTATCAACGCTTCTTTGCATCTTCTGGTCTATCGCGTCGACTTCGGCTACCCGGTGGTCCATGAAAGACATGCCTTGGTTACTGTCTTGGTTCTTGGAAGGCAGCCATGATGGTACGCCAGTTGACGCAGACCAGCATATCGTCTTTAAGAGATCTTGACTCTTCCTTTTCAGAAGAAGGTCGGAAGAAGTGTCGGTCCTGTTTTCATACAACACTGGCCGAATACTCGCAACCATGTCCTGAAACTCAGTCTAGATGGGACAGCGCCCAAGTCTTCTCCTGAACCAACCTATGCACATCAACATGAATGGCAACGTCAAAGAGGACCGGAAAATGACTGCTGCAGAAAAGTACGGTCACTGTGTTCATCCTGTGTTCAGAGCAAAGCCTCGGCCGTCAAGGGGCGAAAGCCAATCCATGATAGTATGCAGCGGCTATTCCTCTTTCGGACCCCGACGGCACTTTCCATCGTCTTGAGAGAAACATCATCAGAGAATGATTAACATCCGGTTGACTCAAAGGACCAAGACAGTGGAGTTTAGTCTCCTTGAGAAACACTCTGAATCAATTTTTTAGTCAATGCCGAATGAGTTTTAGACTTGGCGACGGAATTCACATTGTTCATTGCTCGCTTGCATGAACTACGTGGACGATGTATATATACTGGCAGCATACCATGAGACAATCTCCAGAGACTGCGTTCACCACTCACAAGAGAATCAATGTTGCTTGACAAATTTCACTCTCTTATCTCTAACATACCCTTATCATTGTTGTCCTTACCTCGATAATTATCATGCATCCCACAATAATCGCAACTTGCAAGCAAACCCGCTTCCACGTCCTTGATCAAGCCTCAAAAGAGGTAGCTTTTCCTCACCCATGTCTATCTGCATCCAAGCGTTTGTATCTAATCCTAGCCTCATGAGTACGATAGGTGGATGTAGAAGGAATCACCATCGCGGTATCATCGCCACAAAACCATGCCGAATCCGCCGCCACAGACCTCAAATCGAAACGAAAGGCCAAGGCTGAAGCGAAGGAACTGATCTCTGATGCGCATCTGCGTCTCAAAGCAGGTGTGCACTATGGACTAGTAGGTCGTAACGGGACTGGAAAGTCAAGTGCGTTGTCTACCAATGTCCTCACGGGCCCGGGTCATCCGTGGCAAGACGGCCCATGAACGAATACTGATTTTATCTTCGATAGCACTACTGCGAGCTATCGCCGACAAGTTGGTACCTGGGATCCCACATGCTACGCGCATTGCTATCTTGCAGCAGACGGATGACGGCAGTGATGAGGAAGCTCAAGAGGATAGGAGCGACAAGAGACAGCATCTACCGGTCTTGGGGTATGTGCTGGCAGGCGATGAATATAAGAATGAGATCATGAAGAAGATGAATAGTGAGTCCCGCGAACCCTCGCATGTTGTATCCGCGCCGCAGTGTTCCTGACCTATACACCCTTCAAGTCTTGTCTAAGAGTTTCGAGTCCGACGATCCGCTACAGCCTGTGAAGGCTATTCGCACAGTACGCCATGATGACGTGGAGAAGCAGCTCTTCCTAGCACAGAAGATGGCCAGTCTGAGGAGTGGAGCGCGAGGGTTACAAGCACGGAAAGAATTGAGATCCGCTGAAGCGAGATTGGAGGCATCGCTGGAGTTGTAAGTTCCAGGATTCGTTCAGGATCTGAATCAAGAAGGATTTGAGCTAAAGACATTTCTTGCTCTAGGTTAAACCAGGCGAACGAATCTATCGATGCCGACACGATACAGAAAGACACGCAAGCAGCAATGGAGGTTCTGCAAGAGTTGCAGTCTAAGGTTGAGGCTGTGAGTTTCGATATCAGCTCAATGCTGACCATTACTGATCACTGAATGCTTTAGATGACGCTTGTCGATACTGAGCAGCAAGCTCGTCAGATCCTTCGTGGTTTAGGATTCCACGAAGAGATACTTTGCAAGCCTGTTTGCCAGTTTTCCGGCGGCTGGCGGATGCGATGCATGCTGGCTAGCGTGTTGATACAATCTCCCGATATCATGATCCTCGACGAACCGACCAACTATCTCGATCTCTTAGGAATCATTTGGCTGGAGAACTATCTCCAAGGGCTCCGTGAAAGTTCGCAGACAACAATTCTCATGGTCTCGCACGATAGAGATTTCGTGGATGCCGTCTGCGAGGAGATTATTATCCTCAGAGACCAGAAACTTACCTACTTCAGAGGAAACCTGTCTGCGTACGAGAAAGACGTCGAAGACCAGAAGCTACGCTGGGGCCGCATGAAGGAAGCACAGGAACGCCAAACCGCACACATGGAGGCCACCATTCGCGAGAACATCAAGGTAGGCAAGAAGACAGGTGACGAGAACAAATTACGTCAGGCCAAGTCACGACAGAAGAAGATTGACAATCGCATGGGCGTACAAGTCAGTGCCAACGGCGGCCGTTTCAAGCTGAATCGGGACCTGGTTGGTTTTCACCTGACCGCGCGGGCAGAGATCGAGGTGCCAGTGGACGAGAGAAAACCGTCCATTGCTCTACCCTCAGCAACCGAGCTACGATTCCCCGGTCCTTTGGTCTCTATGGAAGGGATTGGGTTCCGATACAACAAGCAGCAGGCCTCTGTGCTTGATGGTATCGAATTGGTGATACACATGGGAGATCGCGTGGGCATCATGGGTCTCAACGGATGCGGAAAGTCGACGCTGATACGTCTCTTGACTGGCAGCGCAGCACCGACGCATGGCAAAATATTGAGACATCCGAGACTGAAGCACGGGTACTATGCACAGCATTCGATCGAAGAGCTTCAGGAACAAGGCCGGTCGAAGCTTGATATGACGGCTTTAACGCTGATGGCATCAGAGGTCAATGGCGCACTCAATGAAGGCGAACTCAGAGGTCTTTTGTCATCATTAGGTCTCCAGGGTAGAGTTGTGTCTGATGTACCCGTCTGTCGACTTTCAGGAGGCCAACTAGTAAGTGACATATCCAAACCCCAACCTTCTGCCATAGTTGATTAAACAACTCTAACCGATTAGGTTCGACTAGCTTTGGCGAGGGTCATTTGGACCCGTCCACAGCTGTTAATACTGGATGAAGTTACAACCCATTTGGATTTCGATACCGTGACGGCTCTTTCTGCTGCACTTTCTAGTTTCGATGGGGCTATCTTGCTTGTGTCCCATGACCGATATATGGTACGTTCCGTGATTGAAGGCAAGCGAGCTCTGGAAGAGGGCAGAGACGAGGAATCTGAGGAGGACAAGGCATCGAATACATTCTCCAGCCAACGACGTGTCGTACATGTACTGAAATCAGGAAAGCTCCGAGAGCAAGAAGAAGGTGTGTGGCAGTACGAACGAAGCTTGGCGAAGGCAGTTCAAAAAATGCTGCCAAGAATGAGCTAGGGGGCTGCTCTGTAGTTTCATGTGCTAAGAGGTCAGATAATCACATTGATACGAGTATTCTGCTTAGTAGATCCGACGTTATTATTGTCAAATGGTCGATGTCAAGAAAAGATATACTGATAGCACGTGACCCACCGGTTAGCGGCAAACCCCGAAAACCCGCGGAGATGGCGGCGAATCCCAGCGCCCGCGATGATAAGACATTCCCCCTCAGCCATTCATTTAACAAACACCTCTCGAGTCCCTGCTTTCTTCACCTGCATGCACCCGCACCTGTATAGCGCTTCGCAGGTACAGCAAGATGCCAGGATCTGATACCCGCTGAAACGAGATCCGTGTCGAGGATGAATGAACTCTTGTTGCGCAGGCGGGGAGTGGCGCCCCTTCTCTCACTTCCCCGCAGATGTCAGCCCCGAACGAGCACGCTTATTCGGCCACACTTTCGAAGGCACAATACAACCTCGAACCCCGTCTCGGTTGATCGACCCAACGCATCAGACTCACTCACGACAACGTTGCCCACTACTGAAATATCCCCGTCCTCGAAAGCCTCCGCATCGCGATGGTCGGCTCTTAAGTCCGCGAAACCCTTCTCGGAGTTCCTCACTGATAGCTTCAACCGCCAACATGATTATCTCAGAATAAGCGTGACCGAGCGCTGCAATCTTCGATGTCTCTACTGCATGCCCGAAGAAGGTATAGAGCTGTCACCACCGAGCCGCCTCCTCACCACCCCCGAAATCGTCTATCTATCGTCGCTGTTTGTCGCGCAAGGTGTCACAAAGATCCGCTTGACTGGCGGTGAGCCCACCGTCCGGAAGGATATCGTACCATTAATGCAGTCCATCGGCGAGCTGCGGCGCAACGGTCTCCGTGAGATATGCTTAACGACGAATGGAATTTCCCTGCACCGCAAACTGGACGCCATGGCCGAGGCAGGACTTACTGGAGTTAACCTCAGTCTTGATACCTTGGACCCCTTTCAGTTCCAGATCATGACGAGGAGGAAGGGCTTCGATGCCGTGATGAAGAGCATCGACCGCATTCTCGAGATGAACAAGATGGGGGCGGGAATCAAGTTGAAAATCAACTGTGTTGTGATGCGCGGGCTCAACGACCGGGAGATCATCCCGTTCATTGAAATGGGGCGTGAAAATCCCATTGAAGTGCGCTTCATCGAGTACATGCCGTTTGACGGCAACAAATGGAGCCAGGGCAAGATGGTCTCCTACCAGGAGATGCTGGCTATCATTCGGGAGAAGTACCCCGCGTTGGAGAAGGTTGCAGATCATAAGAATGACACCAGCAAAACGTATCAAGTACCAGGCTTTCAGGGTCGTATTGGGTTCATTACCAGCATGACACACAACTTCTGCGGAACCTGTAATCGTTTGCGCATTACCTGTGACGGGAACCTCAAGGTCTGCTTGTTTGGCAATGCAGAGGTGTCGCTCCGCGATATCATCAGGAAAGAGAACAATGGCGAGCCTATTGATGAAGACACCATGAAGAATCTGCGACTCTTGGAATCTGCGGCCAACGCGACTGAAGTCCCACAGCGAGAACAAGAATTGCTCGATGTCATTGGCATGGCGGTAAAACGCAAGAAAGCGAAACATGCTGGCATGGGCGAGTTGAAGAACATGAAGAACCGCCCTATGATCCTCATCGGTGGGTAGGCGCGGCCTCCTTTTCTTTTGGATATTTGCATTTGGGCGAATGACTTTCATGAATTATGATCAATGCATGTAGAAGGTGTCTCAGTCTGTTTCGTGAATCAGGCGGTTCATAGTTGTGATTTGGTTTTGGAAACTACATGATGATTGAGATCTTGGGATGCGTGCTGATGGATGGGTTATAGATAATGAAACTACGGGCAATCCGATTACTGCCACTTCTTCGTACAATCAACGAACCAGGTTGGCATCACCTGCATGGGGAAGGATTCCTGTACACCTACTCTCCTCTGGTCCACAGGTTGCCGCGCAAGTTCGACATTACTCTCGTGCCCGTAATGACAAGCAGTCTGTTGCAGACTCCCAACGGACAAACCCAGATATGGAAAGAGAAGACTCCAAGATCTCCCTTTCCACAGCCTCTGATCCAGACTTGCCTCATCTTAACAGCTCGCAGCACGTGCACATGACCAAGATTGCAGAGAAGCCGGTAACGAAACGTCAAGCCACCGCTACTTGTGTGGTGCAATTCTCCAACCCGCGGCCGTGGGAAATCCTACGAGAGGGCCGTGGTACAAAGAAGGGAGACGTCTTCAGTGTCGCCCGGATCGCCGGCATTATGGCTGCCAAGAAAACCCCGGATCTGGTCCCCCTCTGTCACCCAGGGATTGGCATCACTGGCGTCGAGGTGGACGTGAAGCTACTGGACCCTGATGCTGCGGCAGCGCGTGCATCGGACGGCTCAATGGGTCATGGGGCAATGCACGTCACGGCTACCGTGAGCTGCCTGGGACGAACGGGGGTCGAGATGGAAGCGATGACTGCTACGATGGGAGCTGCCCTGACAGTGTACGATATGCTAAAAGCGGTGGATAAGGGCATGGTGATCGGTGGCGTAAAGTTATTGGAGAAGAAGGGGGGTAAAAGTGGGCATTGGGTTCGCCACGAAGTGGTCCAAGACACTGGAGAAACTGAATGAGGCCAATTGATTGATTTATATGGGTGGTTATGTGTGTGATCCATTAGTTGGAAGACAATACTCGAGCAATTGAGTAATTGAGCCAGTCGAAAAGCATCGAATTTTCCATCGTGCCGAGGGTTGGAGTGACGTGTATTGGCCGTTTTATTCTGATCGATCGCCAGCCTTACGAGTGGCCCAACGGTTGGTGAAGAAGCCAAGTCCGCCTTTAGTTTTAGATTCTCGGCCCGCCTACGCCCGCCGCCTTTCCACACCAAACTTTTTGCCCTTTTCTCTCTCGCTCGCTCTGTTCCTTTTCCCCTCTCGACTTTTCCGGTTCCCAATTCATAACTCTTCTTTCAACAACCAACTCATTCTTGTCTACCGTGAAGGTCTTTAAAAATGGAATAACATACGCTTTGCCCCCGATTATTGACCCAAACTTTGCTTATCTAAGAAGTTTTTCGCAAAGATCTACGCTATTCAAACACTACACTTGCAAATTGACTGTCTGTCTAATCTTGTCGATAACGGACCTGCCGATTATTCTTGAGTACTAGCATTTCCGGATCCCTGCTAGCCGTGCCGCTCCTATACCACTACTACTACCACTACTACTATCACAACTACTATACAACAACCGCCACAATTCCGCCCACAATTCTTACCACCACCATTCCGCGCCTATTCAACCACTTTTTCTCTACTTTCCAAGTCATCTCTCCGTTGGTGACTTCTTTCAACTGCTTTACAGCGCATCACACAAGGATACAAACAATGAAATTTCGGATAAAATTACGGTTGATACAGATTTTGCAAAGTCCTTGTGGGTAGCGGTGTGCGCTTCCCCTCCCCCCTCCAATCACCAAACAAGAGACATTCAACAACCAAAGCTCGATTGGTTTTCATTACGATATACGGAGCCGGTAGCTCGAGGCCCAGGGCTCCCGCTTCGTTGCCAGCGAGGCCTAATTCATCCCTCTATAAATTGCGATATACTCGGATAATCTGATCCATTAAGATGACAAGTAAGTTCCGACCTTGCATAGGATTGGGACCATATTTCTCCTCCCCATGTTTTGTCTCACTTTCCCTTGCATCTGGAATGATGGAAGCAGGATTTGGAGGCTAGAACAGCCCTAGAACATGACGCCCTGAGGATCAGCAGCGTTGACTTGACATACAATCGCTAACTTGCCATCACCACAGACTGGGACTCGCGACGGTTCCTCGGACGGAGCATTATGGCGGTGCTTCCGCCCTTCAACTTCCTCACGCTTCATTATGCCTACTTCATTGCGACGCCCTTGATCTGCAGTGCTATCTTCTGGGGTTCTGCCACCCCTGCGCGCAGTATTGCCTATGTCGACGCTTTATTCATGTGCGTCAGTGCCATGACTGGCGCTGGGCTGAATACTGTACGTCCTCAGCATTTCTCGAGTCCAGTCCTGTCAAGAATATTCTCTGACTTTTGACCAGGTGGATTTGTCCAAGTTGAATTCGTTCCAGCAATCCATCCTCTTCGCGCTGCTCCTGCTAGGACATGGAATTATGATCTCCATCACGGTGCTCTTCGTTCGAAGAAATGCCTTCCAGTCCAAGTTCAAACACATCGTGGACGAGCGTAAAAGAAGAAGCGCTTCGTCAACCGCGAATTCGAGCCAAATCGCTCGACTGGAGCCCATCAATGAGAATGTGATCGAAGAGCATGAGCAGTCACTTAAGTCAGGTGAATTTGTTCTTGACGAATCCAAGGTTACGGTAGCAGCCCGTGTCACAGCTGCAGAAGCGCATGCGTCGTCCTCAGACGAGGACCAGATCCATTGGATTGATGATGACCAGGTCACTCTTGGTCATTTGAAAAACCGACATCAGCACCACCATCGCGTCTTTCCCATGGTAGGGGTCGGGGCTCGTATGGATCTGAACAATCACCCTAGGGATGTCGCTCCGCCGTCGCCACAGCGAGAGGAGGAAGAAGACAATATGCCTGCGCTGAAGGGCATTTTGAAGGGAACGCAGAAGTATTTCGCGTCCAAGGGCCTCATTTCACGCAATTCTCAATTTCACGGGCTTACCCCCGAGGAGCGAGAGAAACTAGGAGGCGTTGAGTACAGAGCCGTGTCCTTTCTACTGGTCATTGTGACTCTGTACTGGGTCGTGTTCGTCATCTGTGGAATAGGTGGGATGGGCACTTGGGTCGCTGTCAATCACCCAGAAAAAGCCCGAGAGAACGGGCTGTCGCCTTTTTGGACAGGCGCCTTCTTCGCGGTATCCGCTTTTGTCAACAGCGGCATGTCGCTATTGGATGCCAACATGGTTGCATTCCAAAGAAGGTATTTCTACTGATCGTGACGTTGTAGCTCGAAAGTCAGCTGACTCCATCAGTGCTTACCCATTGCTCACCATGAGCTTCCTTATTTTGGCCGGAAACACTCTTTATCCGTGTTTCCTGCGTTTCATTATCTGGGTCATGAAATGCGTGCTGCCAAACTCCCCATCGTGGGCCACGTGGAGAGTCACTCTGGACTTCATCCTTGATCATCCTCGAAGAGTATGTGCAACTTACAATCATCTATGTATACTAGGCTAACCTCGTCGAGGTGTATACCAACCTCTTTCCGAGACGCCATACATGGTTCCTCCTGGCCACTATCATCATTTTCAACGCTATAGACTGGGCGGCCTTTGAGGTTCTCGCCATTGGCAACCAAGAGATTGAGAGCTTACCCGCAGGCTATCGGGTTCTCGATGGTCTATTCCAGGCTTCTGGTAAGTTGCACAAAACCGTCTGTTCATTGAGCCTAGACTAAGCGATTTTGTCTGCAGCTGTTCGTGCGGGAGGTTTTTATGTTGTGACTATAGCCGATCTCCGTCAGGGGTTGCTTGTTCTATATGGTAGGCACTTTTCTGAACTTTACATTGTTGACAAATGCTAACATCTCTTAGTTCTTATGATGGTTCGTTCTTCAAAAAAGCTCTTAGCTGTGCCATAGACTAACCGTTATCTATAGTATGTATCAGCATACCCTGTGCTGCTCACTATGAGGTTTGTCCAGCCGTCCCCCACAAAACCTGGGTCAATCCATTCTAACAACCGTCTAGAACTACAAATGTCTACGAAGAACGGTCCCTGGGCATCTACGCCCACGAACCAACGGACGGCGAGGAAGAGTCGCGCCCGCCGCCCAACCTCGTGATCCAACTGATCCGACACCGCATGCTCGGCCGCCGGGACGGATCCAGCCCCGAAGCCTCGCGGAGCTACTTTGTCCACCAGCAGCTGCGCTCCCAGCTGAGCCACGATCTCTGGTGGATCGCGCTGGCCGTCTTCCTGATCAGCGTCGCGGAATCCGACCACTTCTCGAGGCAGCCCGTCGCCTTCTCGACCTTCAACATCATCTTCGAGACCGTCTCCGCCTACGGCTGCGTGGGTGTCAGCGTCGGCTACCCGGGCTCGAACGCCTCCTTCTGCGGCGCCTGGCATCCCATCAGCAAGCTGATCCTGGCGGCGGTGACCCTGCGCGGTCGCCACCGGGGCCTCCCCGTCGCCATCGATCGCGCCGTCATGCTCCCCAACGAGTCGCTGGAGTGGGCGGAGGAAGAGGATGCGACCATGCGGCGGGAACAGTCCCGTGCGTGGGGGGCGGAGAAGATGCCCATTGGGTCGGTTTAGATCGTGGGCACCGGAAAGTAAATTGTCGGAGATGAGTGGGATTGTCCCGTGTGAGGGCGTGATTTGCTTGGGATTTGTGATTTGATCTTCATGTTTTGGCTACTGCTCTGCTTCTCAGATTGTGTGCCTTTGTGTGTTTCTCCTGATTTTTCCGACTATATCGATAGTCCTAAAAGTTCAATGTTATTTACGTTCCGAGTTACTCATTGGCTATTATCCTCTGGTGGTAGCACAAAATCTACTGGTAGAGATGTAGCAAAAATTGATCTTGAACTTTTCATATTGATATCAAAAAAAATTGGACGCAGTGGGTTTCCCGATAGCTACATAGAGTATAAGGTATAAACAAACACCAACATGAAGAAAGAAAAACTCGAGGATGAGATCTAATCCTCCTCTTCTTCGAACTCCAACTCATCCTCGTCTTCTTCCTCTTCCTCTTCCTCCTCTTCCTCCTCCTCACTGCCCTCCTCATCAGAAGAAGCATCCACACCATCCACCTCCACCTCCTCCTCGTCGTCATCATCCTCACTACTCTCATCATTCTCACTGATAACATCATCCATAATCACATCCCTCGCAGCCTCCGCCTTCTCCTCCGCTCGCCGCTTCTCCTCCTCCAACCGGCCCTGCTCCAGCAGCGCGGCCTTCTCCTCGCGCAGCTTGCGCTGGGACTTAACAAAGGCGCCGAGCGGGGAACTCTCCCAGTCGACATCCTTAAGGAAGGACTCGACCTCGGCGCGGTTGCGGGGGGTATAAGTGACAGCGAGACGCTTCTCCTCGATCCAGCGGGCGTTGGCCTCGACCTTTTGCACGAGCAGCAGGATCATCTGGTTGATCTTGGTGTTCTTGTTGCCGCCGGAGCGGGCGCTGACCTGCTTGAGCCAGCGCTTGAGGGCGACGACGACGGGGACGCTCAGCTCGGGGAAGGCGATGTGCTTGGTCCACAGCACAAAGAACTCGGAGAGGAGCTCGGCGACCTGCTCGCCGACGCCGTCCTGGTACACGCGCGTGCGCAGGTAGGATTTGGGCGCGCGGATCGCCGTGCTGAAGTCCAGCTGGCGCAGGGTGCTCGTCTTCGGGGGCTTGCGCATCTCGGCGAGGTTGAGGACCTCCAGGAGGGCGGAGGCGAGCGGAATGTAGGTGCCTGTGGCGCGGGAGAGGCGCAGCAGGGCGCGGGTCAGCTGGAAGCGGAGCGGGAAGTATTGGGCCGTCGGGATCAGGCGCATCGCGCCGAGGGTGATCTGGACCACTGGGTAGATGAGCGGGCGCAGGGCCGAGGGTTTGCCGGCTTGCGCTTCGACCAGGGCGTCGCAGTGCTGTGCGAGCACGCGCGACCAGAAGTCCAGGGAGTGCACGTATTGCCAGTTGTAGACCGTCTTGTAGGACTCCTTGGAGGTGTTGGTGATGCTGCTGCGCAGGTGCATGGCGAGTTGGCGGATGAAGCTGAAGCCTGTTGTGTACGAGACGTTCTGGTCGATGCCCCAGAGCTCGGCGGCCGAGTTCTTCATCAGGTTCACGCCGGCCAGCGTGTGCACGGTCGTGTTGCGGCTGCCCTTGACGACGCCCTCGTACGAGGCCTTGAGGACGGCCTCCTTGAGTCCGGCGTCGCCGACGACCATCAGCCGGCGGAGGATCAGGAAGGCCGTGATCCGCGTGGCCTCGGTCGTGGACACGTCGGCCCAGATGCCGACGATCGTCTTGATCAGGACTTTCAGGAGCTTGCGGAACTGGAGGAGGTAGGGGAGCATGGGTTCGATCGAGGAGAGGGTGAGCTTCAGGGTCGGTTCGTCCGACAGGTTGGTCAGCAGCTGGTGCACCGACGAGGTGTGCGACTTGATGAGCGGCGTGAGCGTCTTGAACTTCTTCGAGTCCATCGACATCCGCACCTTGCCCGAGGCGCTCTCCTTGACGGGCAGGTGGTGCGAGAGCACCCGCGGGATGTTGTTGAGCGCCGTGACGAGCACCTGGTGGTAGACGTTCGAGTCGGAGATCTGGTACTTGTGCTCTTCGTTGCCCTCGCTGACGTAGGCCGCCGCGCGGAAGGCCAGGACCGCCTGGCGCATCGCCCGGATCGAGTGCTGCTCCTCCATCAACTTCTGCCACTTCTGGACCATCTCGAGGGTCAATGTGTTGTCTTGCGTCTCCGCTTCTTCCTCCACCTCCGCCTTGGCCTTGGAGCCCTTCTTCTTTTTCTTCGCGGGACCTTCCTCCTCCTCTTCCTCTTCGCTCAGCTGGTCGACCTCGGCAAGGTCCCCGTGATCACCGAAGTCGAGCAGCTCAGCATCGTTCTCCTTCAGGTACTTGTAGAATTCCGGATCCTTCTCCTTCAATGCCTCGAGCTGATCCTTGTGCGCCTCGAAGTCGTCGGGGCCGCTGCCCTCGGCATCGCTGCCGTCTTCCTCGGCACCGCTAGAGGCCGCCTCCTCGTCCTTCTGTTCGTCGGAGCGCTTGCGCTTGCCGATCTTGGGGGTGACGGCCTTCTTGCGACCCTTCTTGCTCAACTCGGCCGCCGAATCGGGGATGTCGAAGCCGCCCGCGAAGAAATCGTCGACGTTCATTTCCGCGAAGTCCTTCTGCTTCTGGACCTGCTCGGTGTCCTCCTCCGCATCGTCCTCCCGCTCGGCGCGTTGCTTCGCATTGTCGGCCTTACGCTTCTCCTTCAGGTGGTTGCGCTGCTTGATCTTGGCGGTGGCCTTTCGACGCTCGAGAACATCCTTCAGATGCTTTTTCTCGAACTTCTTGGTGGACTTCTTCTGACTTCCAGCCATGATGCCGGAGATTTCCCTTCACGAGTTTTTCGTGGAGAGACAAATAGGTGTGAAATTGGGGGGGAAGAAATTCAAGAGATGAAGGAATCCCGCGAAATCTCAGGGAGCCGGGAAAAAAATCTGGAGAACGGAAAAAAATACATGTTGCGGCAGAATTGAGCGGTGAGCAGCGACTTTCATCGGGTGACCGCCTTGGGGGTTCATTGGTTTCCCCTCATGCGTGCGGGACACCGGCCAGTCCAGTTCGAGCATCACTTGTCATTTACCTCAATTCATCCGAACATAATCGCTTCAATCATGTATGCGCAACGGCCTTTGTCATATGCTCCGACGCCTTACAGTTATACGCCCAACCCGGCGCTGGCTGCGTCCATCAACCTCGATGAGGTAAGCTAGAGCCGTACGGTCTGCTTGCTGGATCGCAGCTCGCTGACTGGTCACATTACGCGCAATGCCAGGAAGTGAAGCTAGCTTCTAGCTCGGCGGAGCGCGATCTTCACGAATCCCTGGCGGAGATTTACAGTATCATCGTCACTTTGGATGGCCTTGAGAAGGCGTATATCAGAGACGTGGTCACGGAATCGGAGTACACGGAGACCTGCACTCGTCTACTGAAGCAGTACAAGTCTAGCTTGGGAGATGATATCGTCGCCGGAGAATTCGTCGACCTCGAGACTTTCAAGCGAAAATGGGGGGTGAGTATATCCTCATCAGTTTGGATCATTCATGGCTGATTGTTTATGCGCGTCTCTAGTTGGAATGCCCCCGTGCCACCGAACGTCTACGAATTGGGCTCCCCGCCACAGTGGAACAAGCCACTCATAGTACCCCCGCGGCGAACATGGCCCCGGCAGCAACAGGTCCGCCAGGCGGCGCTTCTGGCACTTTGATTCTGACAGCCACCGAGAACTTCATAACTTTCCTCGATGCGCTGAAATTGAACATGGTCTCGAAAGATGCATTGTACCCTCTGCTCTCCGAAGTGATCCAGTCCGTCAACAAGGTGACAGACGCGGACTTTGAGAACCGGGGTAAGATTATCCAGTGGCTGATCACATTGAATCAAATGCGAGCGACCGAGGAACTCAGTGAGGAGCAGGCCAGAGAACTGTCCTTTGATATCGAGCAAGCGTACATGGGTTTTAAATCGACTCTAGGCTGAGTCGGCCTATTAAATTCAGAGGGGGTGAATGTCTTTTATCTTGCAGCATTGGTGCTTAGGCGTTTGGGGTTAGATACCAACCGAATTCTCCATGTTTTCTTTCATGTCTAGATGGCGGTCTCCAGAGAGTGTGTATTTGATCAGATGGAAAACGTGGTTATCTGGTTATCTCGGGGTGTGAAGGTTCAACTGCGCCGCCGGAGCGGATCCGATCCGCGGAACAACGCACACCAGCCTTTCCTCTTTGGGTAATCTCGACTTTTTTTTTGCAGGCCCAGATCTTCTATCCCCATCGCTCATTTCGCCACAGATCCGGGGCTTATAAGAAAAAGACCAGCTTCATCAACTTCTGTACCATCCTGCATCGCATCCAGCACAGTCAAGTCGTCCCTCCGCATACCGACATCATGATCAGCGCCGATCCCGATGAGCCTATCCACGGTGCGTTTGCCCCTCCACTTTAGCCCCTGATAGATAGGAGCGATAATGAACTGATAAGCCCGTCACAGTGCTCGATCTTCCCCAGATCCATACTAAGCCCTCAGGCACTGAACTCATCCAGGCTCTCAGTCTTCTGACAACAAAGCCGCGAAGCTTTGGTCTCACAGCCCCTGAAGCGGTGAAGGCGCAGACCGTCCACCCGGCCGGTATCACCCGCTATCTGACCTCGATCATCTCGAGTCCCCTGGCATGGCTCGACACCGAGGAGCTTCGGGAGGCTGTCTGGGACGCCGCTGCGGCTAGACTCAGCGAGCGCTCAGGTCGAACCGGTACGTAGAACGAAATGTAGCTTGTCGTAGCCGTGATCATCACCGCCGGCGGAGAGGGCTGGCTGGGTCGATAGAGGATCCGATCTGACACTCACCACATAGCAATGCCCGCCATGTCGCGAGTCTTCATGATCCCGACCTCCCACGGCGAAGAATACACGCTCACCTTGCATGAACCATCCCTGACCAGCGACAACCTGGGCATGAAAACCTGGGTGTCATCCTACCTCCTCTCCATTCGCCTGCACTCCCTCCTCGAATCCCCCCCGCAACTCGTCCCCACCACCACCACCACGCCGCAGCTCCACCCGGAGCGTACTCTCCGCGCGCTCGAACTCGGCGCCGGCACGGGGCTTGTTGGCCTCTCTTTCGCGGCCCTCCGTGGCCCTTCCGCCAGCATCCACCTCACCGACCTTCCCGCCATCGTGCCCAACCTCGCGCACAACGCCGCCCTCAACGTCGAGCTACTCAACCGCACCGGCGCAACGGTCACCACCGGCGTGCTGGACTGGTCCGTGCCACCGACGCCCCTCCCAACGCCCGCCGAGCAGTACGATCTCATCCTCGCCGCCGACCCGCTGTACTCGCCAAACCACCCCAAGTGGCTCGTCGATACGGTCACCCACTGGCTCAGCCGTGGGCTCAACGCCCGCGTTGTCGTCGAGATGCCCCTGCGCGACGCGTACCTCCCGCAGGTGCAGGACTTCCGGCAGCGGATGGGCCAGCTCGGACTGGCGGTTGTCGACGAGGGCGAGGAGGTCGGCTACGATGATTGGGAGTCGGCCGATGGTGGGGCCCTCGAGGTGCGATGCTGGTGGTCTGTTTGGGGATGGAGTGAGAAGCTTTAGCTTGTAAACTCAGTTTCCATCTCCGCCGTCCTCGTTTCCCTTTCCACCAAAAGTGGTGGACCAGGCAAATCCATTCAGCGACAGACATTTCCACGACGTCACGAAAGCACATTCACCCCACATATAGCATCAACAGCATCAGCTTCAGCATCAGCATCAGCATCAGCATCAGCATCAGCAACTGCCATACGCCATCAAGACTAACGTGATAGAGATCATACACCGACTAAGCCGGGCGATTCGCACATTGGAGAGCCCGGTTCCTCCGTTCCAAATCTAGAGCTACATAGAGCGTTTGTAGTATTAGATATAGCATATCCCAAGACTCGATATATAGATCTATCTATTTCATTCATCCTTCACAAAACAACAAATATCGCTTATACCGTCTACGTCTCGAGTTCCACACACCTCGATCATGACGTCAACACCAAATGGATGTGTAGAGGGGAAAATTGTTTTGCAAGAAGCGTAATAATGGAACAAATGCCGTTGCTTTTTCTTCCCACGCCACTCAGATGCCGTCCTGCGCGAAGTCTGAATCTTTTTGGTGTATGCTCTAGAGCTTTAGGTTAGTTTGTTCAACACGATGTTGTAGCACATCGACCCGTGAAATGCGTCGGTCAAGCTTTTCAGGATGTTATGTGTGAGGCTTCTGGAGGTTGAGAGGCGGGTGGAGAAGGAGGGAAGACTGTGGTTGCCCTCCTCGTCTCCAGATCTGCAAAGGTTTCCCAGGCCTTCCTTCCCATTCAACAGGTACGATATGACTTTGAACTCCCGCGTGTGCCTCTTGCTCTCAAAGCAGACTTTTGATGACAGTCTTGTGTTTCCCATGTTCGCACTTGACAAGACGAGAACCAGCATCCACATTCGAAATCCCAGACATCTCGGCAGCAACGGCTGCATGGGCGGCATCCCATGCGTGGGTCAGAAGGGGCCCGAGGAGCCAGTACCCACCGCACGGACACTTGAAAGAGCATAGGGTGTTCTTCAGATTTGGGATTGTGAGATCGCACATCGGAAAAATCTTCAGCTCGTCACATGAGATGAACGGAGTCTTGCCAGGTGCTGTGAAGGCTGCTGCCGCGACCTCATCGGGTGCGATCGCATCCCAGGAAGACAATAACAGCCACGGATCTGGAGAACCTACTTCCTTGGTCAAGGGGTATGTTAGAGAGAAGCGGTTTCTGGCCTGTTTTTCAATGGCGGACTGCAGATTGTCGATCTGCCTGGAAGCATCGATCATCGTGCGGATTTGCTTGGCGATGCTTGCAATCGAGAGGTTTCCTTCCTCTGGGTTCAAAGTCAGGGAAGATAGTATGAAGCTATTCTCTAGTACGTTCTCATGGGCTGTATCGTCGAGCAATGTGGGAAACCCGATCGGGATAACAACGTTGAATGGCCGCCACTTCGGCGCCGGGGAAGTTGATAACACCTGCAGAATTGTTGATGTCAACGCACTTTACTTACCTGGGCGAGTACTCATGGCAGCAGAACCTACTATCCGTGCTATCCAAGCTATAAGAGTGTCATGTGTAGTCGCCCGAATGCCTTGAGCTATGCACTCGTCTCGCCATTTCCGAACGAGTTGCTCGGGCACATGCACTCGACCGTCCATCCGCTCCTTGAAGAAATCTCGGAATGTCTCCTTGATGAGGCTCCATCCTGCGGTCATTGATCCTCCCACAACATCTCCGATTGTGGATCCACGGCAATCATTGTCGACATTCGGCCCTTTGAGGCTTGTCGGTCTCCTCTCCTGATCTAGCTGCACGCTTCTTGGTCTCCTCCTCAAGGGGCCAGGCTTTCTTCCTTGGATGATATCACAGTATGCACGAATAATCTTGTTGAGTCCTGTGAGAAGCGGAAACACCCCGGATGCATTAGCAAAGCGGCCCAGTTCTCTATCAGACAATCAAGCAGAGCCTACCACCACCATCGCAAAGTGAATGGTCCATATGGAATCCTATCACAGACCATCCCTTCATCCTGGTCACACTGATAGCAAACACCCGGGGCCTCAGCTTTCCCAGGGTGACTTTTTTCGCTATCCTTTTGGAAAGGAGACGTAATAAGGATGGCGTGAAAACATAGAGCCCACGGGGTCGTATATACCAAGATCACGTTGTTCAATATTGATAGGTTGAAACCCAGGAATCTTGGAGCTCGTATAATTGTTTATTTCTCGCCGCTGGAAAGAACCTCAACGATGAGTGATTTTCCCGTTAAGAAGACTTCCAATTCGGCAAATAACTCACTCTTATATCAACGGAGCCCTGCAGGATCGGCCACTTTTCCACCAATTTATCATAGCAGTCTTGCAAGAAGGATAGCTCGTACCCTTCGATAAATGGAACATAGTAAGTTATTTGAACCAGCAACATGCCATGGGCATCCAGCTCATGGAGGTATTCCTGGTGAGACATCGTAACCCGAGTATAGCGCAGGCTTTTCTTCGAAGATGCTAAGAATGGCAGAGGTGACGAGCTCCGAGTCTCGGGGGGGGGGGGGTGCTTCATCCAGTTTTAATTTCACCTTGTTTGCGATACTCAGTATACTCTTTTCTTACTTAGGGCTGAGTTCTCAAGAAAGAAAGTGTCGGGGAACTATATGACGTCGCGGATGAAAATATGCTTCTTCGATTGTCGAGTTGCGATTCTGCAGTTTGAGCTGTGCAAGTCCATACTCAGTAAAGACAACCGCCGGTCCCGCCATCCTTGAATCCAGGCTGGGCCTTTCTCTGCGGGCTTCGCACTCCCCCAAGCTTAGGCTGGAGAACCAAACAGGCCAATGCAGTAGCGTCCTTGTGTGATTGGTACCACTCGAACGCAGGCCAAGCAGGATTTTGACTCCCGGAGCTTCCCCTCAGTCCCGAGAGTGTCTCGAAGAACTTTCGATATCTCATGGAGCGCTGAAATGCACAGGATACGCCATCCATTTCCTGGCTTTGACCGTTGATTATGGGCTTGGCATCATTACCGGGGCCGACTGATATAGTCGCTGTCGATTGGGCAAGGCTTCGAACAAAAGTAGAATTGATTAAGTTGGATACGTACATAAAAGAGTTCTTGGTTCTAGCACGACGATATTTGGGACTTTTCATTGTTACTCTCTTCTTCCTCTACGGTTTCTGCAACTGAGCATTATGAACACGCAGCATCCATTGAAGTGTTTGATTACGGGAGCGTCACGAGGATCGGCGGGTGATGCCCTGGCCCGGCAACTTTTGAGTGAGGGGCACGATATCTACGTGACTTCTCGCGATGTAGCTCGTCTCAAAGAGCTGCAAACTATGGGCGCACATACTTTCAACCTGGATGTCACTTCGTCAAAATCCATCGAAGCACTCTCAGATTCTGTTCCAGCTCTCGATGTACTCATCAACAATGCGGGATGTTTACCAAGCGGTCTATTGAGAGAAGCTACTATCGAAGAAGTGGAAATGTGTTTCCGGACCAACGCATTCTCAGTAATCACAATGACAAACGCTTTTCTTCCACAACTGCGGGCCTCCAAGGGAATTGTGGTTAATCACGGATCCATAACTGCAGATCTTCCCTTTTTGGGCTTTGGTGTTTATTCCGCCTCGAAAGCTGCGCTGGCGGCTTTGAACGATATCCTTCGCAACGAACTTGCGCCATTGGGGATTCGGGTTGTCTACCTTCGCAGTGGTTTTATATCAACCCCTCTGCTGGCAACGACTGAATCAAACCAGGTGGGAGCTACACCTCTGTCATCCTCATATCAGCATTTCCTCAAGAAGGCAATCGACAGACGAGTCTTTGCGAAAAAAGTGGTTCGCAAGCTTCTCGAAAATCGGGCTCGTCCCCCGACCCAGATAGCCTGTGGCTATCTCTGCTTCATCGCGCCTCTGGTCCGTTGGATAGAACCATGGAGAGGAGCCTTTGACAGACTCTATCAGAAGCTAGCGGGCGTCCCCCAGCTTGCTCCATGAAGGGGCTACAAGAGGTGGCCCCACTATCATGGTCAATTGGCACCGCACGAGTTTTCTCCTTTGTCACCCCAAATTCATTTGATAAGCGATTGAGGGACTCGGGGATGGGTAATCTGGAAGGTGGTCGAACTAGTTGGGTTCTCCGTGAGTGAACAAGCCTGGTAATTCCTTTGGATCACGTGGCCGAATTACTCGGGACACCGACACATTTGATCTGCTGCTTTTCGTGTGCTATTGCAGCGGAAAGCCACCACAGGCTCTTGTACATTCTTGGAGCCAAAAAAAAAAAAAAAGACAGCATGTACCAGGAGAGTATGCACAGGCACTTGAGCCCAGACTGCTCACCAAACTATTCACTCCATCCTGTCTGGGTTTAGATGCTCATGTGGCGGGTACTATGGGTCTGATACTCTTTTGACGCGGACTTGGGATGCTCTTGAGGCTGCAATGGCTGCTGAGCTGGCCTGGCCCCGATGGACTTTTCTGGCTTGGAGTCAAAGACCTCTGTGTTCTGGTCTCTGACGAGAAGATGTAGAACAATCGAGCACCTGCAAATATCAACACCACTGTAGTCAGATACTTCTTCGATGGTTCCACTCGCAGCGAAACATATTTGTCATGCCCGACGTGTGGATCCACTTAACGGATTCACTTATTCATCTTGTTTACTTCTGACACTTCAATATGTCCGAGCCGAGTCATTTGAGTTGCTATGCAGAGTCTGAGTATATAGTCCTTAAACCGTATCCAATCATTCGTTATCGTCTTCGGCTTAAGCTGCCAGCATAAGCTGCTGACGGTGAATCTTGACATTTGAAGAAGTTGCTATTTTCGCCTCTCAAGTAGGATCATAAGAATAATTTGAAGAAAACCGAATTTCCGACTTCTACAACTCTTGACAGTTTGAGTAAGAAGACTGCAGTTTAGGTGACCGAAATCTTCTTAGCGAGAGCTGGTGGCTTGTTGACTATGCACCCGCTATTTTGTGAAGCTTCAGTAGCATGAGATCGAAGGCTGACTATAGGCTTCTCCTCTCTGGGGTACTCAATCGTGCTCACCATAGCATCATAGGCCGCATGCCACTATTTGGGAAAGAAGCGCGAAACGCATGACTTACTCGTGATGCTGTGCACGGAATACGCGTCACCCTTGCAGGGGTCAATGGAAGAGGATGATTTTCTTGACCACAAGTGAGCGACATCAGATTATGTTTCATAAGCAAGTGCAATTGGGGAACAGACTGTCAGTTACAAGAGTTGCTTGCGAATCGTGACATTTCCAAAGCTCTAGAAGTCGGCAAGGCGGCCTAAACACTGGGGAATCACTTCACAAGTTGGGCATAAGTGCATACATGCACCAATGCTGTGAATAATGTAACCTGGAAGTTGAGTCCTTTCTCCTTTATCGTAGGTCCGACTATAGCATCGACATCGACATAGGCGTCATTCTCTGCGACGAAGACGGCCCGATCACATAACCTGGTTTGCTGCATGAGCTGCGCATTTTTGGAAATCAAATGCTGAAGCTAAGATATGAAATGATGTGGGTGGTGAGCGGGCAGAATTGAGGAAATGTGGGATGCTTCTGTAACTGCAAGATACTGCAAAGATACTGAAGAATGCATCAAACAAGAGTCTTCATTATGAAATCAAGGTTAGGTGTGATGATTCTGCCTGCGTCCTTGCTTTCTGGATTTATCTTGTTCTCAACGCGGACACCTAGTATCATAGATACTCATCGTCGTAGGGCGGGCTCTGGAATGGTAACAAAAAAAGGCCCTTCACCAGCTTCACACACGACACGAGCACTTGGAAATCCAGTGTCACGCAAGCAACATGGAACACATTAGAAAGTCACTGTGTGCCAGACCTGCGGTCGATGCTAGAGAACTTCTCGCTGAAGAGCTCGAGGGACAGCCTGAACTCTGTCAACTCGAGATTTTGACCGAGGTGTTTAACGCGGGCGTTGTCGCCGATGAACGGCTGGCAGAGATTATCCATGTCGGCTGGGAACACATGCTACGGAATGATCTTTGGACCTTCAAGTATGAATCCCTCGAGCAATACCGGCAGTTGATCAGCTATCGCGAGACAATTCTACCCATCCTCCAGCGCTTCAAATGATCAGATCGAGCGAAAGCCATCAACATGCGCATCATCATGGACCAGTGGAAATCACCTATACACCAGGTGATTCCCGCGCACATGGCTCCGACCTCCTGGAGTAAGCATCTGCTTAGCCTCCTAGCCACTCTCAGTCGATCTATGCAGTCCACGGACGAAGCGGTGAGCCTGTTGAAGAGAAGCATTCACCAACGACCGCGCCGGTCTCGGCAAGGCTGCACTCTGATGCCGAGCGATGTAGAGCGCGTGCTTAGGAGTCTACCTTCTGTGACTCTGGCTCGTAGGCGTCTACCCCTGGGTACGTACACCTCCTGAGAAGTGAATCGAGGACCCTCCTTTACTCATTCCTGTCACATAGATCGAGACCCTAGGGCTCGAAGGTGCCGCGTCTACCGATCTGGATCGCTGTCTGGAATCAGCACCGCTGGATCCACTGACTCAGCCTCTGACGTCGCATTGGAGGAAACAAACCCACTCCTGGTGGAATCCGACCAAGTTCCAGAGGGTACGATGGCCACCGGCACCAAACACTCGGCGGACTGCTGGTGCTCGCCCGCGTGCTTTCCCTTGCGTCTAGTATTTAGAACCAGCCAACCTCCAATCCCCAGCGATCTCGTGGTGGGTCTATTGATGTGGGCTAAGTCGATGGCATGGTCCAATATTTGCAACGCACACCTCGGAAGATTAGGGGAACTAAGGTTTGGCGCTTCAGTCAAGAGCTGGAGTAGGGACGAGATCGTCTCGCAGCTCGAGATTGTGCTTTCAGAGGTGCGCTTGTCAAAGGGGGACTTGATATTGCCCCCCTCTGAGGATAATTTCCACTGGCAGAACTTGACCTCAGCAGAAGATCAGTCCCAGTTGCCCTCCCCCCACGTGCCCCTACCCTATTGGGCGCTACCTTTGCACGATGGCGAGGTTTTCATGAGTCTTCAACCCCATAGCGTGCCCATATAGCTGGCGTTAGATTGCTCATACTTAGTACCAAATATGCATCCTGCTAAGTCTCACCGTTTCGATTCGTGGATACGTAGGTGAAAAGGGTAAGTCAAGGTCATCCTATGTATGTATCGCTCTCGTCCCCGTTGTGTTATTGCGAGAGCTAGAGTGATGCTGAACACATTCTACTCGCGAATTAGCATTGAGGCACGAAATCGTCAGTTCATGGAAATGTTGCTCTTGCGCAACCAGATGAGCACTCTGTTACTCATCCTATGGGGGCTGCACCCTTTGCGCGAAACTGACTGGCGCATTAGGACATTAGGAGAGAATGGACACAATCAAGAAGAGATGTATGTGGATTCACACAATCATCAAAAGAATTCACACAGATGATACCCATCTAAGAGCCCAGGCTGCTCTACAAAAGCGGGCTTTGATGGGCTATTCAAATGTGAGTAAGTTATGGCTGTGCCTATTTCTTGACCTTGTCTGAGTAGGTATCGCCCTGACGCATTTCAACTGAATATTGTATGTGTGTCTGTTCATCAAACGTCAACTGTCCTGTATTATGTAGTAAGCCACTTGCGGTTGATATATTTGAATCTTCCACCTTGATCAAACGGCATACTTAATGGCTTGTTTCTGCATTGTCACCCGGGAAGCCCGGTAGTGAGCTTTAATGCTTCCCTCGGTGAAGGATGATAACATATTGTTGATTGGTTCATAGTGCCCTTGCGTTATTCCAAGCGGTCAGAGCTCAATTGCTCGGTATAAGCCTGCATGGGAGGCTAGGCTACAACCTCAAGCCCGAAGGCATTCGCAACAAAGCCGATTGAAAATTTCAGGTGTCTCTGGCATGTATATAAGTCCGCACACTGGAACATATCGATCCGTCACCTTCTTATAATTCATGAACAGACAGCAGTCTTGTATCTTTTACTCCTAGGCACCACTAGCAACAGTGCACTACACGTTCCTCAAGAATCGGGTTCCTTGCAAAATGGGACCCAAATCCGCCCTCAACGCATCCTCATACCAGCATCCTGATGGCAGCGAGTTTTATCGCAGAAGGATCGAGCGTATCCTACGGACTTTAGCAGAACAAGGGTATGAGTACGACACACTGTCCTCGCATCCAGTTTCATTTTTCGCGGATCAGGACCCCTGGGGCCATGTCCAGGCTCCACAGTACACCTCCATCGCCACCACATGCATCTATCGCCTCTTTGAGTCATTTGAAGAAGTCCTCGGCGACCGGCTATTTGAAGACTTTTTTAAGTCTCGTGGTATAGGAGTGGTCACCAATCGATATTCAACCAAAATACTGAGACCCGTCAAGTATCCTGATTTGGTGTGTACTTCATGCTCCTAGTCAAATCATGACTAAGTTACGGCTGTTGCTCTCTTTGCTTTTGCTTTTGATCGTTGGACCGTCTCTGATAAAGCGAATAGTTGATCACTGGGATTCGGATTGAAGGAGTTCGGCGGGACCGGTTCTTTTCCCGGGTTGTCAATTGGTCCTGTGCGCAAGATGCGATCGTTTCAGAGTCAGATGGCTGTCATGTGTTCTTCCACCATCGGTCCGGGAGCCCAGTGGATCTCACTCGAGAAGAAGGTGGCTGGAAGAAGTTGCATGCCGTCTTGCAAGAGCGCTGTGATGCCTCCGCCAAGAAATCGAGGGCAGCGGAACCGGAAACCGGAAGTAAGAGTGTGGCGGCAAAACTTTGATCTGCCGCTCTAAGGAAGATATGGGTTTGTCTGCGCCTTTGATCACACCAGTAGCCCATGTTGAAAGCCTGGCCTGTATGGACATCGATTAGCACAACATGTTACATACTAAATGTGAAAGCTAGACGCTGCAAGGCTTGGGTGGTGACAGGATCCCTGACCGTATAGCTCGAAACGAGTCCTTTCTCAACAAAACATTGTCTACCTACTTAGATGGCATGATAATCTACGGTCAGATCATCCGGGCCTTATCATTCGTGGAGGGTCTTCCTATATTCAAAAAGATTTTACGGGGCTTTCTGAACACAGGAGAACATAAGCTGAAAAGTGGAGAGATGTATGCCTGCCCAATGTTGGCACATGCTCCGACATGGCGTGCAGCTAACGGTTTCCTCAGTCCATTGGCCCCAAAGAAACTCTGCTCTCCATGCTCTTTGATTCCAGCATGGTCTCTTCCCTTTCGCATAAGCAGAAGACCTCTTATGCATAGGGTGATACGGTGACAGTCTTTATGGTCGCCATGTAGGTGCGTTCCTTGGTTTCTGATAAAATGTGAGCAGAACGGTTCATATAAAAACCTAGTGATGCAACAACCACCATTTTGATGGGAATCCTATATCATCTTGCACTCCACGAAGACCAAGTACGCAAGGTTCGGCTTGAGATACATGATCGGTTGCCCAGCCGCGGCTCTATGACCTATGATCAGGTGATGCGATTGGATCATCTTGAAGCTATTGTAAAAGAGACTTTACCCCTCTCTAACCCCGCCCAACTTAATGCAGACGAGAACACGACCGCATGGTCTCACTATGGGTGACAGACATATACCTGGGAACGTCAATCTTCGATGTACGACATGTTCCACGATGACAGAAAGTTCAAGCTATCAGCCGAGTTCATTCCAGGTCGATGAACTAGTCAGGCACACCTAGTCACAGAGCCGGGAAAAATGGCGTTTCAACCGTTCCATTTTGGAACCCATCGCTGCCCTGGGCAGAAATTGGTAATTCAGCTGATGAAGTATGTTGTCGCAAGGATTATCATGCACTGTGATCTTGTGATGCCACCCGATCAGGGCCCGGAACGAATATTGGAAAAGACCAAGTCTGGCTTGACAATGAGGTCTGAAGATTTGCATCTAATTTTCAAGGCTAGAAGACCTAGTACCGACGGGGTTGGGTTCATACGGGTATGAACGAATCATATTCGTCAGGCTGAAAAAAGAAATCAGTGTGCTATTGGGCAGAGATAACGAAGCCAGATGCAGTGCTGGTTCTGGGTTACTTTTATCGAGATTGTTATTGTCTCGTTCATAGGCTATTTTCATGAACCAAAATTCTTTTGCGTATCATATTACTGCCTAGACTAAAGTGCATTAGTAATTGGTACTTTTGGCTCTTTTTTTGTTCGTCCAAAGGCTATATAGTGCCGTCAAATATTGCAATCTATTCTATGCAGTGAATCAATGCCTCCAAGCCTCACAGGCCAGGGCAAGCGGAACACCTTTTCAGACCACGCACCTTATAGCATATGTCTATATGTCTCTGGTCAGGCAGTCCTTGAAGCAGGCATCCTTTTCGGGAAAGTACTCTAAGCAACCTGGAAGAAGACACTCAGTAACCCTCGCCAAAACAGCCATACCGACTTAACATTTCAGATCATTGTCCTCTAAGTCTGTATGTCATAGTCTCCCTTGGTTCTCACCCAGCCCGCCACCCCGAATCGTCACAGTACAGCTGCATATACTATAACTCTACGGATTTATTGGGCCGGCAGACGCCACAAACCTTCTGCAACTACGTTGACGCCGCTAGCAGAGATCTGCAGACCAGCACCACTGCATGCGCTTGAATTGTATTCCGGTGAAGAACATGCCTTCACTTGTATCATTCAATATTAAAATATTAACGGCGTATTGGCCTTAATGCCAAGCACCTCATCTCATCCAGGAATTGGGCTGGGTGGCGGGACAAATCCTGCAAAGGATGTTATACCGCTTTCAATCATCGACTAAGATGACAGTATATGTGTATTTCTATCTTGTGCTCTGCGATATAACTCTTCAGAAATGCCTTGTGCTTCAACTAGGGAAGGCAAAACCTCCCACGCACAGACACTTACAACGAGCTCTTTAGTGTCCGTACGTTGCCAGCAAATCTCGAAATGTCATCCACCCGCCTTCCTCCTGTTTCTCCCAAAGACCTATCCCCAGCACAGAAGTCCCTCTACGACAAGATTCAGCGGATCATCGGCGACAGATTCAGCACCGTCGTGAGCCACACAGCTGAAGGGGCTCTTCTCGGACCCTGGAATCCCCTAATCCACCATTCGACTATTGGCAAGGCACTGATACCTCTCACTCAAACCCTCCTCGCCCGGCCGGGCCATTTGTCTCGTCCCGTGCGAGAAGTCGCCATCCTGGCCGTCGCCGCCCACTATCGAGCTGCTTATGAGATCTATGCCCACACCCTCTTGGCTACGCCGCTTCTAGGAATCGACACGGTGGCGGCTACTCTCAATGGTCGAGTCCTGCCCAAACTAGACTCGGACGCTTCATGCGCCTTGAAGGTGACTCGCTCGCTTCTTGCGGGTGGGCCACTGCCGGACCCTCTCTGGGATAGGGCTGTCAAGGAGTTTGGGGTGGAAGGGGCGCAGGAACTTGTCTTCCTGGTGGGCTATTACTGTCTGGTCTCCGTGGGGTTGAACGGGTTTGGGGTGCAGGTGCCTTCTACACGTTCAGCGAAATTGTGATCGTGGAGATTATGGTTAGGGGTACAAAATCGACGCATCGCATTCTGCAATCTGGATAACAGAGACGTTTTTCTCGACGGAATAGGCCATCGTACAGCTGGAGGAACTCCCGTACAAAAGAACACGTTGACACTCTATATTTCGGTCGTCGCAACGTAATAGAGATCTTGATCATAGGCGCTTGAAGGCTGAAGGTTTACCGGAAGCATGATCTATCTAGATGCGTTGAAATCAGAACTCAACCATAGTTGAAAAACGCAGATCGGAAGTTCCCCGAAACTAAGGAGAACTGCACTGCAAATTGCAATAGTGTCGCTGGAAGGCGCCCCTACGGCAACGGGGATTAGCGTTAAGCCCGTTCGGATAGCCGCGGATTACCCGGGGAACATTTCATCTGCCTCCTTGTTCCCGACGGGAAAAGGTTATTCTCTCAACTGGTCACACCGCGGCCCGGAACCTGGCCGAGATGACAATCCATACATGGTAATTCTTGATCTGATTGTTTCGGAGTCTGCCGTCCATGTTACCGGTGAGCATTATTGCATGTGATCAATGGTATGTGGTATTATGCTAATCTAGTCATGAATCGTAAGGTCGGGTTGTATCAGCGTATCATGCGTCCTCCCCCATCATCACTTCGGCATTCCGCCGAAATACTCGATCTGCCAGTCCAGGCACACTTTCGCACAGGCGCAGACACGTGTCGGTAAATGGCTCAATGTCCATCCCAGCAAAGCGCGTATGGGGCCAGTCGGTTGCGTAGAGAACTCGCTCAGGGGCCGCACGCAGGAATTCTCGCGCCATTACCTCCAGATCGCGGTATTGTCCGTCCTTGCTGAGACGGTACGGGGCGGAGATCTTGACGTATGTCTCTCCTGCTTGAAGGAGAGATATCAAAGATGAAAACCCCGCCAGGCTGTATGGATCGAATGGCGATGCACCTCGCAGAGAGCTGTCAGCTCTTGTCAGATCGGGGCTTCCAAAATGATCAATGCACAGCTTGACGCCCAGCTGAGGGACAATCTTCTCAAGCATCGGAACCATGTCCAGCGAGACGTAGACTTGGATGACCCATCCGAGGGACCGGATGACCTGCGCATGTTGCAATAGCACTTCTGTCAGGTCACGTTCATCAAGCACCGTGTCGACTGATTTTAGGTTCACCCGCACGCCCCGTACGCCCATTGAATGCCAATCTGCGAGTGTCTGGGAATCGATTGTTGCAGGATCAATCACCACAACCGCACGCCCGCGAGACGGCCCCACGTGTCGGAGTGCCTCCAAAAGACAGGAATTGTCCGTTCCGTATATTGACGGCTGGACTAGGATGATCTTTCCTATCCCCAAAGAAGACTCGAATGCCATGGCCTCTTCGATCGTATGCTTTGAAGGCTTGTACACCGCGGTGGGGGAGACAGGGAAGCGCTGCGGGTCAACGACGTGCATGTGCGTGTCCCATGTTCCCGAAGGTATGCGATGCTTGATTGGGGAGGCCCGTGTAGTGGCTCTGCGTATATCTCTGTGGTCATAACTGCTCTTGTCTTCTTTGAGCAATGTAGTGCTAAGTAGAACTCGGGGGTTGCCGAAGAGACCAGCCCTGGGCTTGAAGTCTGTGAGCACTTTGGTCATAGAGGGCAAAATCATGATACGTGATGCGAAGAATGAGGGAAAGCTGTCAACAGGACATGAGGTTCAACTCGGGACAGAATGAACTCACGAAAGTCGTGTCTTGCAGCCTACCCACTACTCCCTTCATAAAGCACGCGTATCGAGACATGATTGACTTGAAAACCCTGAAACCGCGAGCCGGCAAGGAAATCCCCCGTTCGGCGACAATAATTGTGGAGACTCGTAAGGGATCACGGTAGACTCCGCATCGGCTTGCCGATGGTTTTATAAAATACTGGGGACGGGCCTAGCTCGGCCTAAGCAATAGTTACAGGCCAAGAGCAAGGGAACCAAAGCGAAATATATAGCCGGACTGCCGGAGTTCGCGACCCACTAGGACAGGGCTGATCCCAATATGTATTCTCACTCTTCGGTGATTGTGGGAACCCCAAGAGGGGTAAAGAGGTCGGACTTTGACCGCGAGCTAGATGGAAAAAGAAATCTGGTATGAAAAATAAAGGCCAATGATTGCATTCCGTGTATCCGAAGGAGGCCCGTGACAGGCCTTGGATCATTGAATTGCTGTTGGACTAAGTTGTTCGCGAACAGTTCCTGGAAGAAGTGGCACCTGCCGGTGGGTGCTGGCGGTGCGAGCCGCCGGGTGTTTTCCCGGATATTACTCAGAAACATTTGGGAGTTCTTATGCCTCCTATGATTCGTAGTAAGTCACGAAATAAATGGAACTCAAAAGGACTTTTTGGTCAAATCATGATGCACTGAGCGCAGACAAGTCACGAAAGGGTGCAGATGAGATGCAGAGAAAGTGGTACAATAGCATCGGAGAGAAAGAAGGAGAAAGAAGGAAGAAGGCGGAAGTTGGCCGAGAGGCAGAAAGTCACGCCCCGCGCGGAGTGGATAATTTCTTCCCCCTCTCGACCTCATCTCGGCTCCTCGTCCACTCTAATCTCGTCGCCTAAATTGTGGTCATTCATAGCGTGGCCCTGGCCAAGTGTTCCACTCTCAGCGATCTCAGCGACTGGAGCTTTCCCCAGATTTTCCTTGATAGGCCTTAATATCTTGTTTTCATCATTATATCCTCAATTGTCCTGGGCTGGTAGCCCGTCTCCACGCGTTGACGTCGCCTGGCGCCATTATGGGATGGGCGCCCCTCGACTGGTCGCGGTGGACTACTAATCCTTTCTACGCCTTGGTCATTCTCATCATCGCATGTGGAAGCATTCCCAAAGGTATCGTTTCCCGATTGCTCTTTCTCAGTTTGAACTCGTCATCGACTAATCGCTTGTGCTCTGCGCTGCAGGCTACGATGAGGGCGGCTTCAGTGCCAGCACCAAGCTCGAGTCATTTCAAAACGACTACAATCTGGTACGGTCTCACTGGGAACATGATGCTGCTGGATTGGCCAACCGCAAAGCCAACATTACGTCTTTCAATGTGCTAGGAGCAGCTTTTGGCGCCTTGTTCTCTCTGGATTTGAACGACCGCCTCGGCCGATTGCCCGCCTGGCGTTTGGCTTGTCTGGTCTGGGCATCGGGCCTATTTATTCAGATCTTCTCATCGGGGATTTATGGACTGTTGCTCTTCGCCAGAATATGGGGTGGTCTCGGAGCAGGCGCGTTGACAGTGGTCGCTCCGTTGTACCTTTCGGAAATTGGTGGGTGATCGCTTGAGATGTCAAATCTGGACAAAACTAATCGTGCTTAGCCCCTGCGAAGACCAGAGGCTTGGTCGTGAGTACTTTCATGGTCATTTTACTACTTATTCTAGCCATGGGTAGGACAAACTTTTCTACCTCCCTTTGGCCCAATCGTGGTCTAACGTTGGAACCTCGACAGGCTTCTTCATCAATTATGGCGCTACATTGCACATGGCTGCCACCCGCACGCAATACCAACTAGTGCAGTCTATCCCGCTGATACCTGTTGGTATCGCCTTTTTCGCCTCTTTCATGGTTCCAGAAACACCCCGCTACCTAATCTCAAAGCAACGCTATCAAGAAGGACGTATCGTCTTGGCTCGTCTTCGTGGCAAGCATATCACCGATCCTGGTGTGGAAGATGAATTCAATGCCATCAATGCTCAAGTGCGAGAAAAGGCAGCAGATTTGAAATCGGTCACACACTGGCAAGCATTCAAAGAATCTCAGATCAATCCCAACTATCGCCAGCGATTCTGGCTTCTAATGATCATCCAAACGATAGCGCAATGGACCGGAGGTAACGGAATCACCTACTATATTGCCACTATTTTCCAGTATGCTGGCGTCACTGGGAATGCTAATTCTCTGATATCTTCTGGCATTTATGGAATCATCAAACTTGTCTTCACCATGGCTTTTACCTGGGGCTTGATTGATTACCTGGGTCGCCGCCGCTGCACCTTGGCTGGGTTAACCCTTCAACTGGTTGCCCACATATACATGGGCATCTACATGGGTCTCCGACCCGGTTCGAGCCACAATCAGTCGGCCTCCAATGCTGCTATTGCCTCCGTTTTTGTCTATGCCATTGGCTGGTCCATCGGCCTTTGCACTGTTCCCTATCTCTACGGAGCGGAAATCTTCCCCACCCGCATACGTAATGTTTGTTACGCTCTGAGCATGACGCTGCATTGGTTCTTTCAGTTTGCCGTCGTGCGGGTCACGCCGAATATGTTTGTCTCCTTGCATATCTGGGGTGCTTACCTCTTTTGGTCCATCATTTGCTTTTCGGGACTCATCATCCTTGGTGTATTGATGCCGGAGACTAAAGGCGTTCCCATGGAGCGCATGGGGGACCTCTTTGACTACCCGTGGTACTTACGCTGGCGTGCCAAACCGAAAGATGTCCCAATCGCTTCGTCCTCTGCGGCTTATACTGGCTCTTATACCGCTCTCCCGGGTCATTCTGACCATAAACATGCTGACTCCAAGGATCGACATTGCCAACCTTGAGTCAACTGAAAAGGAAACGCCCTTCGCCAATCAATCTAGAAGTTGAATTTTCATGTGTTGTGGGAGTATTTGCTTCTCAAAAGCTTCCCTCTCATCCCTTGTCTACGAAGTAACAATCTACACCACCGCCACCGATACCAGTTTTGACGGAATTATCCAGTGCAGAGATCCAGTGCAGAGATGCATTTTATAGTCACGCAAAAAAGATGTTCTGTCATTCATACATAATTGTCGTACCCAAGTATAGCCACACAGAAGGCGACTTGTGTTCAATCATCTGATTCGACCGCGGGCTTATGATTCTCATAGTAAGGCTCCAAGAGCTGGATGATTTCATCATGTTCCTCGCCCTCGGCATAAAACAGCGGATCTGTGTCCATGTCATCTCCTTCCATGCCATCGAAAGGATTTTCATCAAGCAATGCGCGTACCACTCCGACATGGCCTTCCCGGGAAGACTCAATCAAAGCTCTCCAGACATGGTCTCCTGACTTCAGCGCAGCCAATATTGCACTCCAAGAACAGCTTGAGCATCGCTTCATTGCCAAAATCCGCTGCAAGAACCAAAGGGGGATACTCAGTGATACTATACGTATCCGAATAGGGATTCGCGCCTTTTGAGAGCAGCAGTTCAGCCAATTCTAGATTGTCGTCGCCTACAGCGAAGATCAAGGGTGATTCGTCGCCCCCTTCATTTGGTGAGGCGCCCCTCTCCAACAGCAGCGCCACAATGGAATCATAGCTCTCCCCTGCAGCAATCGACATAGGTGTCCGGCCATTTTCGTCCTTCATATCTGGATATGCACCGGCGTCTAAAAGCAAAGACACGATGGATTCATGTCCCCCAGAAGCTGCGTATGAGATGGGTGCCATTCCAGCCTCATCGCCAAGATCTATGCGAACCTTTCTCTCAATGAGAAGCTCTGCAACGTCGAAATGTCCCTCTTCTGCAGCCCACGACAGAGGCGTTCGACCAAAGGCATCCAAAGGGTCTGGGTCGGCGTTCTCTTCCAGTAGGAGTTTCACCGTGTCAGTCTGCCCCTTGTACGCAGCGATAGCGAGTGCTGTCATTCCATTTTCATCTTGCTCGTTCAAGCTAGCGCCCTGCTGTACCAGAGATTTTACATCGTCTTCACGAGAGCTTTCGATCGCCCAAATTAGGAAATCACCCCGGTCTTGATGGTCACTCGTCTCGGGAACTGAGAGTCCACTGATTTGGGATCGAGTTTGCAGCGGCTCAGGCCTGCTAGCAGGGGCAGCGCTTGGCTCACGGAGCAAGGCTGCCCTGTCGCGCTTTCTCTCTTCATCGATGAATGCGTGTTTTCTCTTCAACATCTCAACCACCGGCGCGTGCCCTTTCTCAACAGCCCAAGCAAGAGGTGTGCGACCATGGACCGCATCTTTCACTTCTATGTTGGCATTGTGTCGTAGCAAATTGGCGACAGTTTTGGCGTGGCTGTGTATCGCGGCCCACGATAGAGGAGTCCGGCGCGACGTGTCGGCCAGGTCCACCGCGGCATTGCCATCGTCCATTAATGCCTTGCAAACATTCTCAAAGCCTCGCTCCGCCGCTAATGACAAAGGAGTCCGACCAAGGCCCTCGGTATCCTGGACATTCGGATCGGCTCCTGCTGCCAGTAAAGCACGAACTGCACGATCAGAGGCACCTTGCGTCGCCAGAATTAGTGGGGTGAGACCAAGCGCATCCCGCGATTCGATATCGGCGCCAGCCAAGACCAATTCGTTGATGATACCTGCGTGTCCATGCTCTGCTGCCTGGGCCAGGGGTGTTCGACCCTGATTATCACAGACATTCACGTCGGCGTTTCGGTGGATGAGCAGCTTGACCGCATCCCAGTAATTGTTCTCCGCAGCCCAGAACAATGCGGTTCGGCCAGATGCCTCATGGCGAAAGTTCACATCCTGACCTTCTTCCTGCAACAGCCTTGTGATTTTGGCCGTTTCTCCTGCTGCTGCGACAAAAAGAGGGAGCTCCCATGGAAGCGGCACTTCCGCCATCTTCTTCTGTCTCCGATAGGAGGAGAGCTGTGCCAACAGTGAAGCGACAAGGGGAAGTTTTGATTAGGATGTTGTCTTCGAGGAGACTCGCCTTATATGCCTATTTGGGGAGCAACTCGATTTAGACAAGTAGACGTTAAGTTAACTTTTGCATTCTGTGAACCTTAATCCTTGGGCAAGCAAGAGGAAGACAATCAAGAGAATCCACGGAGTAGACCAAGACTCTTGGCCTCCTAGAAATGAATCGATCATTGGATCGCGGGGGTTTGTCGGGAAAACTGGGAGGAGGTTATGTTTATAGCTTTTTGGCTCTGTTTGAGACATTTCCGAGACCGCAAGCATCTCGATGGTGGGACCAACCTTATTCTATTCTATGTCTTGGCCCACGCGATGTCGAACCCTATCAGTGACAACGCACGCTTCCTCTGGCGGAGGTTCATACGAGGAGCTTTCGATGCCTTCAATACCAGGGTCAGAAAACTTGAGACAACAGCAAATGTTGCACCCTAGGTGACATTGGAAGGTAGGGTCATAGTCTCTTCTATCAGCGAAAGACCAAACGAGAAGAAAAGAAAGGAGGCATGAAAAAGCACATACTCTCTCAAATCTGCACCACAAGGTTGCAAGCTCCAAACAGAAACTGGCAGCCCGAAGTGAAAGCAAAATGGCACAGGCAGCAGAGCCTGCACGCGTAGATGTGGTCAGCCATTCGCCAACTGGTCTTAGCAGAACAAGTATTCTCCCGGGCTAGCTTCTTGCACTACCAGATTCAAGGCACCCTTTCTGACTGGTCAGCTTATCCTCTCTTGCCATGTGTGAAGCTGTTGTTGATCCATTAGGCATAGTGCATGGCAAGAGGTCTTACCATAGTATTTTTAAAAGCCTGACTGTCTTTCAAGAAATGGGAACAAGATGGCGGCCTAATTATAAGACAAATTGTCCGGGCTCTATGGTTAGGGCTTTTCAGAGGGGCACACTTCGCTTTCCTCTATCTTAGAGTGAATGCTGCTCCTTACGATCTCAGAGATGTTTTACATATGTCTGTCTATAAGTTAAGCTTAGCACGATGCATCAGATCACGAATATCATTATCCAGCAGCAGCGTAACTAATACCCACACCAAGTATACGATTGAATGATGCTGTTGTTTAGCCAGACAGATACACCCTGCTCTTCTGGATTGGGTGCCCGGAAGTTTCCATACTCGCAACCCTTTACAGATATCCTAGGGTTTCCGTATGTAACAGCCCAGGTGGCTTTGCCCCAGGCCCCGTGATTGAGAGATGAACTCGTCGGAGATAACGAATTGTGCTAGACGATCGCCAGCAGTCAAGTCTATGTGGGATGTTATGCTCCTAGTTGCAGACTTAGGAAGACTTTTTCTACGCTATCATATAACTCTTGCAGCTACTACATACACTGCTTGACCGAAGGCACTACCGGTTCACTCTGAAGACTGGGAACTATGTATGCTGACATAAACCAAACGGACATGGGAGTAGAATTGCTGAACTGTTTTCACAACGTACTTCTCAGTATAGAAACTAATTTTAGACCAAGGTACGTATCTTAATCGATAGCTACCTTAGTCATTACATGGATGAGAAGGCTGGATGTACAGTGCTCTTGGAATGTTTCGCAGCCGCCCTGTCCTAGCCACGACTACCCTGCAGACCAAAACAACCCTTACTGAGCCGTGAGCATTCTGGATTGTCCTTGGAGGATGCTCTTACCCAGGTATACCAGCCCCCGTATCCAGCAAGCAGATAAACTTGCGTCAGGTCGCGACACAAGCTACAATTCACGGTGCAGCGCTTTAAGAGAATCCCCCATACCTGGTCTGGCATGGTCGAGCCAGAACTCCCGGATATTCCTCCGATGTCTTTGTAAAGATCACGGCGATTTGTCGAGGCACGCGGTATCAATTGGACCTTGTAATGTTTACCAGTTTGGGAGCTCGATTCAGCTCACAGAGTCTTTGTGTACTGTGCGGCAGTAAGCTTGCCATATCGGTCTGTTATCTTGTTGATCTCTGGACATTCCGATTTTCTATGTTGCCTATTCTCATACTCAGGATCGAAACTATCTGCGATGGGGAAATAAGACGATGATGCTCCTGATCCTATCTTACGAATAACTCTTGTGTGCTTGAGAATGTTGCGTCTTGAAAACCTACAGTGCTGAATATGGACATAGATGTAGCTTAGTGAGATTTTGACGATCTCAAATTGAACATTTCTCTAAGTGCATTGCTCACAATGTGATGGTATATATCATGTTATCTGATTTGACAGAATTGTCCGGATGTTTTCATGTGAGCTATCACTCCAGCACGACCAGGGATTATCTACTCCACTAAATTACCCGCTTGAGTCTATTATACCCGATACCTGTATATAGTTAGATATATGCATCACTGTCGGTTCCATCCGTAATCAACCGCGGGGGTCATGTTCGTCGTCATCGGCTCCGCATACGAAAAAGCCTCGAAGACCTCGGGTGTGATCTCGTAGGAACCCGGGTTATCGAGCGTCATGACGGCATTAGGCATCCCGCCTAACATGTGCGTATTCGCCATCTGCGGTACGCTTGACTGGGAGAGCTCAAAATCGGCAACTGGTTGATGGTAGGTAGAAGTGGGAAGACTGGGTGCTGCGGCTGCTGATGTCAACCCTGCGGGATGAAGGAGGCTGGACGCCATAGGTTGGTTGGAGTGTTGGGGCTGGTGGGCGGGAGACAGACGGCTTGGAGTATTAGAGAGCGTCGCTGGAATCGAGGAGCTGTGTGAGGTGTGCGGTCGGGATTGAGGCTGGGATTGTGGTTGAGAGATAGTCTGTGACGGTTCGGGTTGTGGGGGTTGAGACAGTGGCGGAAGGACAATGTGAAGGTCAATTTGGAGCTTCTGCAGCTCCTGGTAGATGAGGCTGAGAGCTGTGGTGATGACTATCGTAGCTAAGGGTTAATTTGTGTGGAATTCATACGCCCTGGATTGATCATAAGCATACCAGGATTTGAGCCCTTCACCCGCTCCAATGCGTATATGCAGAACTTGAGCTTATCAAGGGTGCCCTGAGCGGCATACTTGAGGGCCTGAATTTCCAAAAGATATATGGATGCTGCGGTGTAGACACTGTAGGCGAGGGAGAGGACCACATGCACATCTCCGAAAGTGCGACGATATAGGTCGTAAAGTGATAAAATGGCCGTTGCGGACGTCATACATTGGACAAGGTGGCTCTTGTCGTAGGACTTATTTGTCTTGGAGCATAGAACCGGTCGATGCAGCAGGATGTTGATGGTATGGTACAGGCAGCTGGAGGGGGACATGTGGTCAGTAATCGCCACAGGAAGTCAAGGTTGAGACATACTTGAGTGTCACAATGTGGCTTGGAGGAGAATAAGGTGGGAGGTCTGTGGCCTGCAGCTTCAGAAAATGAGGTAAAGCATCCCACCATTCGGCCAAGTTCTTCGCTTGTTCCTCGATGCACTCGTAAAACTCCGCCTCCGTGACCTGCCGAATGGGGTCATAAATGTGGATAAGAATCTGGTTGAGAATCTCGGCTAGGCCACACATCTTCATGAAACATGAAGTAGAATGGGCTTGAGTGGGTGGATAGTGCGTGCCATCAGGAAATTCGACACCGTGGGGTGTCCAAATCTCAACTTCCGCCGTATCATCCAGAATTGTTCTCGGAGGGCTGACGCGAGATTGTTGCATGGTCGGAGCTCGTCCGAAGTATAGACAGATCAGCTTATCCCAGAAATAACAGCTCCAGAAAAGACGGTTCCTGATCTCGATGTCTTCGTCGCTCAGGTGCGCGCTGTCGGAGTATTTGCGGCTGTCGATTGAAATTCCCAGATCATCCAACATGCGAAAGGCCATTCCACTGTATAGCCATGCCTGGGTTCGATTGCCTCGCCCACATTCCTGAGCACTGAGAAGGAGCAGGGTCTGGATAGTCGGTATATCAAAGCATCCGGCTTTCAACGAGTCGTAGAGGCCTGCCACGGCACGATGCGAGAACTGCGCACCGCCTTCAAAGGAATCAAGAATCGGGCCAATCTTCGGTTCTGCCTTGCACCATCTTACCGAATGGGAAAGTATCGTATTGAGAAGAGCTTCGGAGAAATAGGGGCCGTTGATTTTCATATCACCTGTGATTGTGTCAGTTGGGCTTTTTATTTATGCCAAGGAGACGGCAACAGACGGGTGAAGGTAGGTCGGTAGACAAAATTGAAGAGCGGCTGGATCCAGCACCAGTGCGAGTCAAGAAGATATTGAAATGGCTCCTGGGTTGGAATGGATGTCAGTGAATCTCCTGCCTGTAAAAGAAGCAAAGAGTCTTACCGGCATGGTCGCCAGCTGTTCATAAGCACGTTCCCGCCATGCATTATTGATCAGCCTTTCCTTGCGACCTTCCAGGTGCATAGCCAGGTGAGATGTTGAGGAAGCCTCGGTGACAACACCACTTGGAAGCTGGAATAGACTGGTTGGACCGTGAAAGGATATTCGTCCATCATGCTCGACCTTCAACCCCTCGAAGTCTCTGGTGAGATTCTGGTCATCGTCTTCCTCCTCTTTTATGCGAGTACGCCGTCCGGGACTTGCGCTAGATTCCCCTATGGAAGCAGAGGAAGCCCGAGAAGCCCCTTTCAATCCCACGGGCTCCAGGGGTTGTTGGCTGCGTAGCTTGGTGAGCGCATCCTCCAGCTGCGCCACTCGCGATTCTAGTTGCTTCGTATATGATAAGGTCGGAGCCCTAAGATCAACAAGTCAATAAAGGTCAACGCGGTTGCTGAGAAATGCAGTATGAACGCGTGGGGGAGTAGAGGCAATCAGCAAGAGGGGGCACTGAGGGGAACTCACAGACTATAGACGCAGACTTCCCCGCGTGCTGCACACCGTGAACATGATGGGCTAGCCCCATTGCATTTAACCTAGCCGAACATGATCAATAAGCAGTCCTAATAGCTAAGCCATGAGAGCCATTCAAGCTCTGTCTTGGAGTGATTGGAACTTAATCTCGGAGGTCACCCGAGGCTGGGATGAGGGGGGAGGGGAACCCACCTTTCGCTTGCGACAAGCCTCGCAGGAGAAGGCGCTTTTCCGGGGAAAATTGGTCTTGGCTGGCACCTCGGCCATATCCGACTGATTGGATTCTACGACCATGGAGTGGGATACTCCTGGCAAACCATGAACGAAGAATCAAGGGGCACAATTCCCTCCATGTGTAAAGAAGAAGAGAGGGGAAAAAATCGACGGTTGGCGCGAAGGGAGAGCGGGGGTTGGAGTAGGAGGAAAGAGAAGGCGAGAGAGGGAGTGCGGCGCGAGTGGGGTCAGAAGCGCGGCAGCGTGACAAGAAACCCAAAAAACCGCAGCGATTGAGGTGCGGTGGTGGGCGCACTTTATTTCCAGAATGGGTCGTCCGTGGGGCGATTTGATGATGGCTTGATCTCCAAGAGCTTTCTGCACCAATTGGCGCTCTATCATTCTCGCCGTAGTTGTGGCTGGACCCGGATGGTTATCGTTCCTGGCCTACTTTTTGTTCTCTAGCGTAAGGCCTTCATTGTGCGATCCTTTGCAAAGTGCGAGTAGGAAGATTGTAGGGTTGGAGGCATCGGGATGCGAGGTGGGATTCGGAATGACGATATGAGTTCAGTCTTTCTCAGCCAATCAACAGCCCGACACCGGAGCTAAACCGCCCGTGGCAGCCACCAGAATCAGGCAGACCCTCTCGGGGTCGGCGCCGAATTAAGCTTAAAAACCCGTAAAGTCACGTGCCCGGTGCTGGTGAGACCACATTGGGTTAAGGCCGCTTTAGTCAGCGGGTCGATCATCCGGGCTAGAAGTGAAGCTATCTGTATCATATCAGATAGATAATAAATAATAACATATTACATGGGATATTCGCCTATATACACATGGCCCACTATCAAACAAACTGCCGCTCCAGCTGCACCAGCAGCTCATGCACATCATCTACTGGCAAGGGAACAGCCCGAGGATTCTGCAGCGCCTTCTCGCCGAAACATTGAGCTACGGCAGTCTGCAGCCTCTCTGCGTTCCGATCAGACTTGCTCTGCAGCTGACCAGTAATATCGACCGTGATGCGGGATGCAGCGGCATCCTTGGGCCCCATGATGAAGATAAGGTTGTACTTCATTTGCTTGGCCCGTTGGATCTTCTTGCTCAGAGTCTGGCTGCTGGTGTCGATATCGATGAGGAAAGTCGAGTCGGTGAAAGATAGAGGCTGAGGGGCCCCTCCTGTCTGATCCGGCTGAAGGGCGCGGAATCCGGAGATCTTGGCAGCAGCGTCCTGTGCCTTTTGAACAACAGCCTCATCCTGGTTGACAGTGAGAATAATTCCCTGTCGTGGAGACAACCAGAACGGCCAACGACCAGCATATTGTTCAATCAGCAGGGCCAGGAATCGTTCCAACGAGCCGAAGTTTGCCCTGTGGATCATCACGGGCGTCGCCCTGCCGGGTGTCTCCGGGTTGTAGTCTGGCTCGCCTTCGGCCACCTGGTATTCCAGTCCGAATCGCTGGGGCAGGTTCATATCAAGCTGGATTGTAGATAGCTGATGATACTTGCCAGCCTGGTCCTGAAGCTGAATATCAATCTTGGGCCCATAGAAGGCACCGTCGCCCTCGTTCAAAGCCCATTCTCGACCGGTATTGTTGAGTGCATCCCGGAGCTGGCTTTCGGCGCTGTCCCACAACTCTAAGCTCCCAATAAAGTCCTTCTCAGGTCTAGTAGAAAGAGCCAACCGATATGGTCCAAGTCCAAAGGTCGTCATTACCAAGTCCACAAAGCCGAGCGCCGAGGCAATCTCTCCTTTGATCTGCTGTGGCCGGCAGAAGATATGACCGTCATCCTGGTGGAACCGGCGAACACGGGTAAGGCCACTTAGCGAGCCCGAGATCTCGTTGCGATGAAGGGGGCTGAAGTCGGCGTAGCGGATGGGAAGTTCGCGGTAAGAATGGGTCTGCGATTTGAACAACAGACAGTGACCAGGGCAGTTCATCGGTTTCAGGCCATAGGATTCGTCCTCGCCCGCCTCTCCCTCCGTCTCTCCCGTAGCTCCGCGACCGCGGACCTCGTACATATCATCCTTGTAATTCTGCCAGTGACCCGACACTTCCCAGAGTGAACGCTTGTATATTGTCGGAGTCAGAACCTCGCGGAAACCGTACTGGAGGTATTGTGTGCGGAGGAAAGTGATAAGTTTGTTGATGATATGTGTGCCATTCGGAAGAAAGAGCGGCGATCCGGGACTGTAGATGGAAGTGGTGAAGAGGTCCTGGGCGGTTCCCAGCGCGCGATAATCGGCCGAGGTCTGGGGTTGGTCGGATTTGGGATCAGGGCACGATGAACAAGGCCGCGACGACGTGGAGGAGAGCCATTGGACTCGCGTGGGTGGCCAGCGCACGAGCGATGACCTATGTAGTAGGTTGGTTCGTGACAGCGATGCCTGACGTAGTAGGGGAGTCAATTGTCGCATGGTGAGAGCTCGGGGTGGAACATTGAGCAGATGAAGCTGGAGGATTTTCCTCGGCCGCCCGTGACTCGACGCGATCGGCCCGATTTGGCATCGCGTTCCCGTGACGGATTGTCTTCCCCCCCACCATCCACCGCGTCCTGAAGATGATCCCAGATCTATATCTTTCTATTGCCTAGACCCTCATGATTTTGAATGTTGTTGATGATTACGATGATGAAACAAGTGTCATGCTTCTGAAAATCTCTCTGTGGCTATCGTACATCGCAGGTCAAAACTTCAATCATCCTACGACTACTGCGGAAAGCTGCGAGACCAAAGGCCTGAGATAACCCTTGTTATTCACTGCATTTCTTCTGATCTGCGCTAGCGCCTAAACGATACGAGATTTCAACCACTGACTCGAAGACCGTTGTTGTTGCTAGGGTTGAGTCAACAAAGTAACACTTAACTATCGCGTGCCTCCTTACGCCTCCTGCACTATTTGAGTTATTACAACCCTCTGGCCCATGGGAGGCTGCAGATCTGCCACGTTCTAGGCCTTGCTGCTCAGATCCATAACCATGTCCAAACACTCACGACCTCAGGATAGCACCATCTTAGGAGAGTCATGGGTTATCGCGTCGGCACAGCTTGCGGAGGGGCCTTCAGCCAGCAACAATAAAAAGATAAACAACAACCATCAGACTGAGGCTTCCGATACAACACCGCGCCCGACCAGGAGCCACCATGAGAATCTGACGGAATCGATATCCACCTCGTGCGAATCCATATCGGGACCAGATCTTATCATGCCGTCAATATACGAAACTCCCATCTGCGAGGGGTCCTGGATCGCACCGACTGCATCTCCTCAACGCGCTCTCCGACGCAGACACCAAGCCTCGTCCCCATCACCAACCAGAAACTCGACGCAGCGTTCTTCAGCCAAGGTGACGGAAAGCGCGCCGCCCACAGTCGCGCAGCATGAAACCATCAATCGTCGCCCTTCCTTCACCCTCCCCAGCCGCGGGTTCATTCTACGCATATTGCTGAACGTGCTCCTCATCGCGGGCATCAGCCACCTGCTCATCCTCCCCGAAATCATCCAACAACACCAATCCCTCTGCTCTCTCCCGGCCCTGGCAACCCTCTACCCAACCAGCTGTATCCCTCTTTACCTCAAGCCCAACCACATCAACAACAACAGGCTAGCCTCGATATCAACCCAGACCCCGCTCGAGACCCTCCTCAACAACACCCTCCGAACCATGGCCCCGCACAGCACGACCCTCAAACACACCGAATCCAAACTACGCGACATCCATCAACTCCTCAAGAAACAGTACCCGGGAAGCAAGCACGAGCTGGACCTAGAATTCTCCGGCTGCCTCGAAGCCACCCGCACGGCCACCCGGCGGTTCGACTCATTGCACGCCGACCTCCGATCGGCAGTGGACAGCCTGATCGCCGCGCGGGGCAGCGGTAGCGGTAGCGGTCGCGGCTCGGCGGCGCCGGCGGCGGCGACGACCGCCAACACCTCACCGGACGCGCGTCTCTCCACCACGCAACTCACGCGCCGGGAACAATACGTCGATCAACTGACGTCGCGCATGCAAACCAAGGCCGACTCGTTGCTGGGGGACTTCGCCACCCTAGACGATCACTTGGAGTCCATTGCCGGTGTCGTCAAGCGGGAGACCAATCGATTGGCCCGAAGGGGAAATGATGATCACCATCTCCAGGGTTCAGGGTCGTCCTCGTCTTCGGGGCTCAAAGGCATGGTCGGCGCATTGTTCGGGGGTGGTAGTGCGCGGTCGCAACCCCACACAAACAACAAGGATAATGAGAATAATGATAGCAATGACCACCACCACCACGATGGCGAAGATCATCACTCCCCCCAACCGCCCGCATCAAGCTCCCACCCCCACCAGCATCACAACTACCCGCAGCTCCCCACCCTCTTCCAAGAGGCAGCGACCCGCCATCAACCGGTCATGGACGTGATCAAGAAGCTATCGGACGGGTTACAACGCCTCCAAAACAAGAAAGGGGGGATGTTTCACTCTTGATGTGGGTTAATGATGGCGCGTATGTATGTGAATCAGCCTTTTTTTTTGTTTCTCGCAAACGGCAACCGCAGTCAAGTAAGACATGTGTACGTCATACCCACGATCCTCATAAACCTGGCCTGCATTTTTGATATCACGATCGACATGAGGAAAACCGAGAAGAAAAATTCGCCCAACAAAGTAATACCTGATACGTCTTTCGCTAATCGCAACACACGCAATGATGATTACGATTCATCATCTACACGGGGAAATTCCACAAACGCACGCGATGTCGTAAACTCATACAGTAATCGCCATACCTTGACATCAGTTTGTTTCAGAGCTACACACATTTGATGCCCAGCGATGCTCCATATCCATATGCATGCATAAGGCCAAGAGAATTAGGAACCCCCACATTTTCCAGGTCCATCAATCAATTGATTCAATATACGAATACCCATGTACAGTACATGTACGTACCCATGTATGCTCCACTATCTAGATCGTACTCGTAGAACCAACCCTATTACGTTAATCCCTCGATCTCGATAAGAGAATAGTATTACTATTACTAGCAAAAGGCTACCTTTCTCGCTGGAAAAGCACACACGCCAATAAGCAAGACAGACAGGGTAATCAGATGAGCAAATGAAAGCGCCCGGTAGAACGAAGCATGTTTGCCCAAGCAAAAAGCGAGAGAGTCGCTTGGAGATGTGTGAAGAAAGTAGTTGAGGGTCAAGACCAAGATAATAACGAGCTCTTGCCCTCCGTCCAAGAGAAAGTCAGACACAAGAATGTCCCA